GAAGGCTAAGACTTGGAGGATAGTGGCTCAAAGCCAGTTCAGGCAGAAAGTGTCTCCAACCAGCAAAATGCCAGACTAGAAGCATGGTTCAAAGGGTAGAATGCCAGCCTCCCCAAGAAAGCTATCCTTAAATTCTGAATTCAGAAATTACAGGCAACCACTTGTTTATTTATTTTGCTTATTGTCCATTGAACCCATGGCCTTGTGCATCTGAATAAGTGTTCTGCATGGAACCACATCTCCAGCCAGCTTATCATGCAGCTGAGAAATCAATTTGTAAAAAGAAGAAAACCATGAAAATCATGATCTTTGCACTGATATAGGTTCAAAATAAAACCATCTCTTGTTTTGTGAATTTGTGACAATTTCTCCTATAGGAACAGTGATAAAGAAGAAAGGGGGCGGATACCAGGCTGGCTTTCAAAGTCAATTAAAATAATAATTAAAATACTTCACAGCATTGCTTTGCCAGTTGGAGACACCAGATATTCCCCTTCTCCAAACTGATGACATTTGCTAAACAAATGGAGTGGGGAATCAGATATCAGAAACATAGCCTCTAAAATGTCAGGACTATGTCTCCATCCCAAGGTGGGGTTTCTATCTGAGAGGTAAGATATGGGAGAACTCCCAATGAAAGGAACAATTTGTTTTTCATCTCTATTTTTATTTATTTATTTTGCCAATCCTGAGGCTTGAACTCAGGACCTGGACACTGTCCCTGGGCTTCTTTTCAAGGCTAGTGCTTCCAGCTTTCTGTTTGGTACTGAGGAATCGAACCCAGGGCTTCTTGCATGCTAGGCAAGCCCTCTACCACTAAGCCACATTCCCAGCCAGAGTAATGATTTTGATGGCTAGGAATTTGGGCTTAGGAAAGTGGGCCAATGGCTGGGAGACACACTTCTTAAACAGAAAGATGAGGAGCATAACAAAGAAGATGAGATGTGGCACTTGGCAAAGTGAGGGATCAGAGGGACATGAACTGAAGTGAAGGAAGAAACAAGGAAAGGCATCGTGGGGTGACCCAGTGAACAAGCAGGTCCTCCAGCGGCCACCCTGCGTCACTATAATGATCCTCGGAAATTGCTGCTGCTCCTTGTCTCAAAATTTGCTGCTGCATGAACTTACTTTTCAACTTTATAGACATTCCCTTCCCTGCCTCCGACCTCCATACCCCAGGCCTCAGATCTGGGTACTTTGTACAGTCTCCTTGATTCCCTGGATACTTTGTATAGTCTCCTTGATTGACGGGTCCTGTTGCCTACCTGGTTTTGGAACAAACCAAAAGGGCTTCATCTCACTGCTGGTAAGAGTTGAGCCCCACAGGGAAAAGTGCAAGGCCAAAGTGCCAGGACTCCCACTGTGAGCAGCTGCAGGAGCCCGGGGCAAGGCAAAGGGGGTTTCTTTCAAAATGGTAAGGTCTGCTTTTCTAGAACTAAGGATGCAGCTCTGTGGTAAATAAAGCACTGTGATCCTGGGCTTAAGAAAATAAAACAGAGGGAATGGGTGACATTCTCCAAAAAGAAATGTCTTCTTTACCTGACTAATAAAACTGTAACACTTTATACATTACCATAATAACAATTAAAAAATTAAAGCCAGGTGCTGGTGGCTCACATGTGTAATCCTAGCTACGCAGGAGGCTGAGATAGGAGAATAGCTGTTGGAAGCCAGCCCAGGCAGTTAAGTGACTCTTAGATCCAATTAACCACTTTAAAAGGCTGGAAGTGGTGCTGTGGCTCCAGGGCCTGAGGTCAAACCCCATGACCAACAAAAATAATAGATAAAAATAATTTGGGTAGGGGCTGGGAATGTGGCTCAATGGTAGAGCGCTTGCCTTGTATGCATGAGGCCCTGGGTTTGATTCCTCAGCACCACATAAGCAAAAAGAAAAAAGCCGGAAGTGGCGCTGTAGCTCAAGTGGTAGAGCGCTAGCCTTGAGCTGAAGAGCTGAGGGACAGCGCCCAGGCCCAGAGTTCAGGCCCCACGACCGGACCCCCCCCCCAAAAAAAAAATAATTTGTGTATTGGATACAGGTCAACAAGTTTTAGCCTTTAAGAGCCATCACTTAGACAGGAGTTTGTGGAAGAGTCTCCGCGATATGAAAGCTGCCATTCCTTTACCTGAAGGACACTGGCTGTCAAATGACAACGCTAGAGTCCCTCATCCTTGATAGAGAGCACTGTTTCCCGTCTGCATGAAAAGAGCCAGCTGATAAAAATTGAAAACTGAAATATTAGCACTTTTACTGGTTCACAGAGCACTGGGACAGAACTCTCTGGAATTGGCCGGGATCAGAGAGCCATCCTAGGGCATAGAGGTTACATGGGCTTCTATGTTGGACTGAGACCCTTCCATATTTATCCCATAGGTGAGTGTTCCAAGAAGCCCTTGTGATCGTTTCCAGGTGGATAAGGCTTGAGTCTAGGGCCATGAAAAACAGGAAATCTGCTCAACATGTTGTTTATCTTAGATTCCTTGTCTTTAAAACTCTGAAACTGCTCAAAAGTACAACTTTGTACTTGATATATATCATTGTATTATATACCTAAAATGGCTAAGTGCCGAATTTCATAAGACATTCAAAGTATTTTAAAAATTGGGGTCATATGGGGCTGGGGAAGTTGGCTCAGTGGTAGAGCATTTGCCTTGCATGCATGAGGCCCTGGGTTCGATTCCTCAGCACCACATAAGCAGAAAAAAATGCTGGAAGTGGTGCTATGGCTCAAGTGGTAGTGTGCTAGACTTGAGCTGAAGAGCTGAGGGACAGTGCCCAGGCCCAGAGTTCAGGCCCCAACAAAAAATTGGGGTCATATACTACAAAAAGCTACCAGAGGCTTTACATTTTGTACATAACCTTTTCTTTTTTTTCTTTTTTTTTGCCAGTTCTCAGGCTTGAACTCTGGACCTGGGCACTGTCCCTGAGCTCTTTTACTCAAGGCTAGCACTCTACCACTTGAGCCACCGTGCCACTTCCAGCTTTTTATGTGATTAATTGGAGATAAGAGTCTCACGGACTTTCCTGCCTGGGCTAGCTTTGAACTGTGATCCTCGGATCTCAATCTCCTGAGTAGCTGGGATTACAGGCGTGAGCCACCAGCTGTAACTTTTTTCTTTTTTTTAAATAGTACTGGGCTTAGGGCTTCCTTCTTGTTAAGCAAGAGCTTATGAGCTGTGCTTGGCTTGTTTGTTTGCTTTAATCATGGTCTTATGCTTTTGCCAAGGGTGATGGTGGCCTTGGATCATGACATAACCCTCTTACCTGTGCCTTCTAAGTAGCTGGGTCCATAGACCTGCACTATAACGCCTGCCTTTTTGTTGTTCTTGTTGGTCATGGGGCCTGAACTCTGGGCCTGGGCGCTGTCCCTCACAAAGTAGTAAAGAACCGGTATTGGCTTCAATTATTTCTTTTCAAATGTAGGTACTTCCTGAGAAGGAGCCACTCTGTGCCCTGATGGTAAGTCTGTTCTGAGAGAAAGATTTCCAGCTCAGGAAGGACAGAGGCTCCAGGTTTGCAGTTACCATGGCAGCGTGGTATCCTGTTTGGGCTGGCAGGCACTGGAGCTGGTCAGCCACCATTCAGATTCCAGCTCTCATTCTCACCAGATGTGTGACTGTGGGCATCTCTCCACACCCTCTTTCCTTGTGTAAAAGTGGGAGACACTCCAAACATTTAGAATACTACTCAAGATGCCCTCAAAGGGAGCTGGCAAGGTGGCTCAGTGGTAGAGTTCTTGCTTTGCATGCATGAGGCCCTGGGTTCGATTCCTCAGCACCACATAAGCAGAAAAGGCCAGAAGTGGCGTTGTGGCTCAAGTGGTAGAGCACTAGCCTTGAGCTGAAGAGCTGAGGGAAAGCACCCAGGCCCAGAGTTCAGGCCCATGACTGGGAAAAAAAAAAGATGTACTCAAAGAAGATCATTATTTAAAAAAGGATCCCATTACTTTCCTGCTGCTTGGTGGAATAAAATAAGTGGCTCCCTTGCAGAGAATCCAATAAAGCATTCAGGTCTTTTGTCTAGCTCTCTAGCATAGGAGTAACACTGAGGATTGCTACTCAAAGAACAAGGTAATCAGTGTAAGAGCGATTACTCAATTAACAAGCATTTACTATTTCTGGCAGAAAAGTTATTGTTTGTAGGCTTGCTTGTCTAGTAGGTAACCCAAATATAAGAACTCACACTGCCTTGCGGCAATCTGAATGGGCAAAATGTAAGCAGAAGTTGCTAGATAGACTTCTTAGCTCTGTAAAAGAAGCATAGTGGATGGAATCTGTCTTTTTCCTTTGTTCTTTCCCTTTTCTTTATCTAGGAAGGCCACACATATGCCTGGATGTGTAATAGTTATCTTCAGATCATCAGGATGAAAACCACATGCAAAAGCAGGCAGAATAGCACCAGCTCTTGGTGTTACTTCTGGATTAGTAAGTGAGAAAAAGGAAACTGCTACTTGGCTGCTACTTCACTGGATTCTGTAGATGAGTTTTAATTACATGCACCCTAACACAAATATAATAAAAAGGACCAAAGGGAACTTCACTGATGACCAGTTCATAAACCAGTCAGAGGCAAAATATCATCTAACAATAGACTAAGGGATTTTATGTGTATATGTATATGTTAGTGCGTGCACATACACACATGCACATGCTAGCGCACACTGGTACTGGGCTTGAATTGTTTGGGCAGTGCCCCTTAGATTTTTCGCTCAAAGCTGGTACTCTACCACTTGGGCCAATGATCCATTTCTGGCTTTTTGGTGGTGAATTGGAGATAAGAGTCGCATGAACTTTCCTGCTCAAGCTGGCTTCAAACATTGATCCTCAGATCTCAGCCTCCTTAGTATAGGATCACAGGTGTGGGCCACTGCCTCCTGGCCCAGGCTACAGGTTCCTGCTGCCCTTTAGTTCCTTCCAAATTTGGGCCATGAAAGAAGTCAAAATAATAAAAGTGGAGAGCAACCTTCAAACTGAATTTTTTTATTAGAATACTAATACATGCAGATAAAAAACAAACAAACAAAAAAAACCACCCACAAAGAAAGAGGAAAACACTCCAAAATGCTATTACAGATTAGGCAAATTAGTCAGGAATGAGAGTTCCCTCAATGTGTACAAAATGTAAACATTTGCCCTGGGAATTCCTGCAGATGGCCCAGTCCACAAGGACTTATTTGGAACAAAAAGATGTCTATTGAATCTCTAGTAAGGCTAACATTTGCAAACTTCTCACATTTGAAAGTTAAAATTGCTAGCACATCCATACTTTCCTACACAAAAAAATGAAATGGTTCCCAATCAAGGCAACTAGAATATCACCTGGTACATGTGGAAGCAAAGTATGGAAGACAATCAATCTGCTGCCACGCACTAAGGCTACCTGTATTTACATTTACCTCACCAGAGATTACAAAAATATACAGTATATAAACCCCTACTGAGGCCTGGGAGACAAAGTATTTCTTGCTTATAGCAAATGTTCCAGTGGACGGCATCAAATCAGTCTCTGAACTTAGCGAGAGGGGCAGGGGGAGAGAGGTCTAAGAAGAAGCCCTTTTTTGTTCAGAAAATGGGGATTCATAAACTTCCATGGGTGGGCAGGTACAAACCAGGTGCTGATCTCCATATATGTCATCAATCCGAGCAATGGTGGGCCAGAATTTGTTCTCTGGTTTCACAAAGGGCTGGAAAGGATGAAAGATGGAAATGTTGTAGAACGTTCTGTGTTTCTCTTGGGGGCAAAGAGGCTAGTTACAGTGATAGTCCCACAGCCCCAGATACCATCAGTCTAACAATGACTAAAAGCTGCACTGTCAAAAAAAGAAAATCCAACCTTTGAGCACTATTACTATGCCATCCAGACTTCAGGGAGAACTTTCTCCCACTAGGAATTGGAATGCATAATGCATATGGTCCTTGAGGCCATCTCCCTGTTGGATATGGTAGACGACACACTAATATACCTGATGGGAACACCTATTCTATTTTTCTCCTCCATGTTCCTGTGCCCAGTGTTGATGCTCTGACTGACCTCTGACCCCTGAATGCCAATGGCTTTGCTTCCCCCTCCCCGCCCCTACCCTGAACTCAGCCTGGGCACTGTCCCTGAGCTCTTTCGTGCTCAAGGCTAGTGCTCTACCACTTTGAGACATAGCTCCACTTCTGGTTTTCTGATGGTTAACTGGAGATAAAGAGTCTCAAGGTCTCATGCCCCTCAGATCTCAGCCCCCTGAGGCATGAGTCACCAGTCCCCAATGCTTTGCTCTATTGATCATGATTTACATTTCTCAAGATGGTCTATGTATGGTTTCTATTATGAGACTGTAACAGGGGGAACCTCTCGGGCGAGCAGGTGCCTACGCAAGGGAACATCATGACAATGGACTCTTTCAGCCTCAGTGAACTTACAAGTGGGAATGCTGCCACCTCTCTGGAATATGGCCGGTCCCAGTGGGAGGATGTGACGCAGGTCAAGGAGTGTGGAGACATCTGAGACAGAGATACAGACGGCAAGGGGTCAGACCAATGTGCTGTCCCCTCCCCCACTTACCTCAACCACTGAGCTTCCACCAGAAGCTTAAATTTGGGGGAAGGAGGTAAAGGAAATCTTTTCATGGTAAACTTCTTCCAACAGTGAAAAAGTAGAGTAATAATACACTGGATAAATCCACCACTTAGCAGCAAAGCCAATAGAGCATTTTATATTTGGTTTACCTTGTAAAATAGTAAAAATATCAAAATAGTAAAGTAACAAATAAATACACTGATAAATATTAGACACTGCAAGCTGACTACACATCCCCTCTTCTACAGAAATTCATTGCCTGCTTTCCTTTCTCCTCAGTGACAAACATTATTGGAACTTGCTCTTCTCATGTTTTATTCTATGTACATGTAAGTAAACAGCATATGTTAGTTCAGCATACTTTGAAACCTATTTATCTATAAGTATCATGTTCTTCGAGATTGCCATATTTTAAGACTCAGCAATATCTAGGATGAAAAGAAATATATGTTACAATAAAAATACACATACTGCTGGGTGCTGGTGGTGCATGCCTATAATCCTAGCTACTCACGACGGGTGCTATGTGAGGATCATTCATTGTTTGCAGATAGTTCAGGCAGGAAAGTCTATGAGACTCCAGTAAATCACCAAAAGGCCAGAAGTGACTTATCCCCAATAAATCACATACCCCAAAAAAGTCAGAAGTAGAGCTATGGCTCAAGTGGTAGAGCAGTAGTTTTGAGCAAAAAGGATCTCAGAGACAGTGCCCAGACCCAGAATTCAAGCCCCAGGAGTAGCAAAAAAAAAAAAAAAAAGCAAGCATATATTTATATACTGTTCCACTCTCCCAAAAAACATATCTAGTAAGGTGCCTGCCTTCTGCAAGCCATTGCCCCTGCAGTCCACCTTCAGTGAGGTGGTTGTGGGCCCGCAACATATTCTCCATTCGTGACCCTCAAGCTCATTCGTTTAGGCACTCTGACCAGTTACCAAATTAACATGCATTAGTGCAGGTGCAGCACAAACCTTTCTGTAACTGGGGTTATACACATTATAAAACATCCAGGTTCAATGAAATACCAGTTCAGTTGTTCTCAGGTACCTGCCCTAAGAACTTGTGTTTATACAGTTTGTGAGCCAAATGTATCAATTCTATTTTGTTCCAATACAATGACAGTTCATCAAAGAGACACAAAAATGACAAGAATTCTACCCTGAACAGAGTCCCTCCCCTCCTGTGGTGATCAACTGGGTGCATGTAAGATATATAATACCCCTATATACCTGAACAAACAGTGTCAGTGTTCAAGATGGCTTATAATTAAGGACTGAGACTTTTCATCTCATTTTAGGAAAGAATATTGCTATCAGTGAGAGTCCAGAAGTGGGAGCACACTGTCCAGGTGCCATTTTCTACTCAGGGAGGCTTTGAATCAACTGCCAGCACGTACACACCTTCAGCGGATTGACCGTAGGGTCAATGCGGCCCTCCTCGATGTCAGCAATTTCCTGCCGAATGTTGATCATGGCATCACAGAATCTGTCCAGCTCTGCCTTGTCCTCTGACTCAGTGGGCTCAATCATAAGAGTCCCTGCCACAGGCCAGGACATTGTGGGAGCATGAAATCCTACAAAAGGAGACAGAACAACTTGCCTCACTCACTCTGGCCTCTCCCAGAATGGAAAAGCCTCTCTCTCTCTCTCACAACTACCCAAAGAAATACATTTGCATGCATACACATGGAGATTCATGTCTGCGCTGCTTACAGAAGAAAAACAGAAACAAACAATATCCCACAATGGGGAATTAGCTTAGCAAATTTTACGGAACACCTCTTCAATAAATATACAACCACTGAAAAGAACATACATTATTTTATTTATTTATTCATGCATTTATTTATTTTTGAGGAGTAATGGGGCTTGAATTCTGGGTCTGGGCACTGATCCTGAGCTCCTCAGCTCCCTTTCCTCAAGGAAAGTGCTTTACCACTTGAGCCATAGCACCACTTCCAGTTTTCTGGTGGTTTATTGGAGATAAGAGTCTCACAGAGTTTCCTGCCCTGGCTGGCTTTAGACCTCGATCCTCAGAGCTCAGCCTCCTGAGTAGTTAGGAGGATTACAGGCATGGTGCCAGTTACATTCATTTTCTTTTATTTAGATAAATATTCATTAATAATTAAGTTAATAAAAAAGCAAACTATACCACCTAATATTACCCCCTCCTTTTTTTTGTGCCTACTATGTTTCCCACATCAGGATAATTCAGGGCTTTAGAAATCCTATCAAATATCATAATAGTGCTAAGAAGGGAAGGAGGGAAAGAAAGAGGGATTTCTGCTGCCAAGTTATAGAGCTGCCAAAAAGAGATTATGAGGAGCTAGTTGCTAGTTCCATGAAGAAATGCTTTCTCAGCTGGGAGCCAGTGGCTGACACCTGAAATCCTCCCTACCAAAGGCTGAGAATCATGATTTGAAACCAGCCAGGTCAGGAGAATCTATGAGACTCTTATTGCCAATGTTTGATCAGAAAAGCCAGAAGTGGAGCTGTTGCTCAAGTGGTAAAGCACCAGCCTCAAGCACAAAAGTCCAATAGTGCCTAGGCCCTGATAGACACAAAGAGAGAGAGAGAGAAAAATACTTTCATATTTAATATAGTGTAACTGCATAATAAGAGCCAGTGGTTCAGGCCTGTAATCTTAGCTACTCAGGAGGTTGAGGTCTGAGGATCATGCGTGGTTCAAAGCCAGCCTAGGCAGAAAGTCCACAAGATGCTTATCTCCATAAACTATTCAGAAAAAGCAGGAAAATGGCTTGTGGCCCTGTGACTCAAGTGGTATAGAAGGCTAATCTTGAGCACAAAAAAGCTAAGGACAGTGCCCAGGCCCTGAGTTCAAGCCCAAGTACTGGCAAAAAAAAAAAAAAAAAAATCAGTGAAGAGAAGAGTGAATCACACACATGGGATTTACATTATGATGCAGTAGTAAAACTATTAAATTTTTAAAATTCACACTCCTTAAAACAAGTCATTAAGATTCAAATAGAAATAGCACTAACAGGGGCTGGGAAGGTGGCTCAGTGGTAGAGCACTTGCCTTGCATACTCGAGGCCCTAGGTTCGATTCCTCAGCACCACATAAACAAAAAGAAAAAAGCCAGAAGTGGCGCTGTGGCTCAAGTGGTAGAGCGCTAGCCTTGAGCTGAAGAGCTGAGGGACAGTGCCCAGGCCCAGAGATCAGGCCCCACTACTGGACCCAAAAAAAAGAAATAGCATTAACACAGAGAAGGCAAAGTTCTCTCCACCTTCATATTATCTGAGAGTTAAAAGATCTTTGATATTATTATTCATAATACTAATGTTATGTTAATGAAGGAATGAGGGCTGTGTTAAATAACACATAATATACCAATAAGGCTTCCACATCTGTCAAAGAAAGGTACTTTTTTCCTTTTTTGGTTTGTTGATCATGGGGCTTGAATTCAGGGCCTGAGCTTTTGTGCTCAACGCTAGTGCTTTACCATTTGGGGCTACAGTGTCACTTTCATTTTTCTGGTGGTTAATTGGAGATAAGAGTTTCAAGGTCTTTCCTAGCCAGGCTGGCTTTGAACCGTGATCCTCAGATCTCAGCCTCCTGAATAGTTAGGATTACAGGCATGAGCCACTGGCACCTAGTGAAAGGTGCATTTTCTTTTTTTTTTTAAAGTAAAAATTACTTATTCAATAGATTCCTTCATTTATTGACAAATTTAGTTCAAAATTCCATTCACTTATTTTTTTTATTGTGAAAATACCGTACAGAGGGGTTACAATTAAATGGGCAAGGTAATGAGTACATTTCTTATCAAGTATTGTTGCCTCCTCCTTCGTTTCCCCTTCCCACCTCTTCCCATCTCTGCCCCCACCCCAAAGGTGCATTTTCTTTGTAGAACCAATACGCACCTATTTTCTTCCACCGCTTAAACAGCTATTCCATGGCCAGAGTGGTTCTAGAACTCCAGTGCCCTTTTGTGTCTACACTCCCACAGATTATTTGTTCTAACTCATTCCCTATTCTACCAACTTATATTTTCATGGGCTCTGTTTATGGGATGCAGGATAGGAGTAAGAATTTATCAGAAACACTAGCAACGAACAGCAATTATTTGCTTGGAATTTAAAAATTAAAGATAGGTTCTCCGGGCTGTGAGGGATGCAATCATGTTTTAATATCGTTAGAAGGGCAGAGCCAGTATCAGAGTGGAAAGTTTTTCATTATTATTTTAAAGGTTGCTAAAGTCTAGGCTCCCCATTTATTCCACGGATCAATTTACTGTGATGCCTATACGTTCTGTTTGTGCTTTGAGGAAGTAATTCAAAGCCAGCAAGGCCAGCTGCATGAATGTCTCGGCCACTTACCGTAATCCTGGAGTCTCTTGGCTACATCCACTGCCTCAATATTTGCAGACTTTTTGAAGGGCCTTATGTCCAAAATAAACTCATGAGCCACATAACCTGTCCAGGAAAATGGGTTTAGTTCAAGATTAGTATCGGCTTGCTGTTTTAGCCACGTAAATGATTCAGCTCTTTATGAATATCTGTGAGGATCAAGAGACTAAGAACATTCGGTAAGTTTCTCTTATATTAAGAATAAAGATTTCATGTAATCTTAGTACATTGCATGTCTGATTGGCAATGACTTAATGGAAGATGGAAAGCATTACTGAAACTTTCCACCAGAGATGTCTGGAGATGAGATTATTTCTACTCTGAGAACCTTAAAACTACTTGGAACAATATGCATGTCTTCACATTCCTGGTCCTTTATTTCTAGAAATAAAGATCAGTTGATACCCTGCAGCGACTTTACCCTCAATGTCAAATAACTGTTTCTTCTGAATATATGAAAATATTTTTAAAAAATAGAACAGGTATGGAATTTTATATGGTTTCTTCAAAGTAGCTTGTGAAGTTTTGATTTCAAGTTGCAGACTGAGAATTAAAAATAGGCAGCATTGTCACGCTTGGCACCAGTGAGCGATTCACATCTGTAATCCTAGTTACTCCGGAAGCTAAGAGCTGAGCCAGCCCATGCAGAAAACCTCATGAGATTCTTATGGCCAATGAATCATTGAAAAGCTGAAAAGTGGTAGAGTACTATTCTTGAGTGAAAAAAAAATCTCAGTGCACAAGCCCTGAGTTCAAGTCCCAGGACCAGTACCAAAAAAAAAGACACTATCAAACAAGCCACCAGGAGTGGTGAGGAGTTCATGGTAGTGTGGGACAGCTCACTTTGTTCTAGTTTCTCTAGGCCCAGGAAGCCACCTCCTCAGCATGAGCTACTAACTGATGAGGATAAAGCAGTAAGGCAGCATTTAGACAACAAGACAACATTTCTTCCCAGATTTTGTGGTCCACCAACTGATGTTTCCTTCGAAGAAAGTATCTTTTTTAACCTGCTTTCCTAACTCTCACCCAACAGTGAATCAATCCACTTACAGACTGGCAGAGCAGACCTGAGTTCTCAAGCTTAGGAAGAACAGCTCCAGTAACAACAATGAACAGCTCAATACTCAGCTCCACTAACAGCCTCAGAGTTGAAGAGGAGTGTGTGTGAACCACTTGCCTTCTGTATAATGAATAAACTGGGATAGACTGCCTTTGCTTGTAAAGTATCTGAGAATCAGAATACATCCGATCTGCATATTTTTTAAAAATATGCTTTCAGGACTGGGAATGTGGCTGAGTGGTAGAGCGCTTGCCTAGCATGCATGAAGCCCTGGGTTCTATTCCTCAGTACCACATACCCAGAAAAGGCTGGAAGTAACACTAGGGCTCAAGTGGCAGAGCATAGCCTTGAGCAAAAAGAAGCTCAGGGACAGTGCCCAGGCCCTGAGTTCAAGCTCCAGGAGTGGCCAAAAAAAATGAAAATAAAAATATGCTTTCTAACAATGGTGGAGACGAATCAGTTAAAAGTGTGAACAAATGCAGTCAGGGTATTTACTATGTAAAAAAATGAACCATGCGACTTGTGGGCAAGGACAGAAGGGGGAAAGCAAAGGAAGGGGTGACATTGTCCAAGAAAAATTGTACTCATTATCTGAATGGACTTGAAACCCTTCTGTACAACTCCTTAATAACAACAATGAAATTATTTAAGTGTGATTCAAAAGGAGAAGAAAGAAAGAACCAGTGGAATGCTTCAGAAGGAAACCATGAAATTTTTTCAAGACCTTACTATTCATTTCTGGCCTCCTAAATGCCCAGCTACACGTCCCCCTTTTAGACTCCAATGGCTCTGATGGACATGCAGAGAAGAGGAGGGGGATGGGATGTCAGCGTGGGAGGAGATGCTGGAGTTGCTTGGCAGGGTGAGAGGAGTCTTCCAAGCAGAGGTTTGGTAATAGCTGAAAGGCACCAATCAGCCAAGCCCAACCCAGCACTGCTAATACCAAAACTTTATCTGCAGAGGTCCCCACCACAGCCAAGTGGTTTGGGAAGGGCTCCATTTCAAACATGAGGCTCAGATGTTATTTTCTGAATCCATACTCTGTTGCATCAGATGGAAACTGTAGTGCGATGTCAGCAGCTCTTTCTACGTAAGCACTGGAAGGGGTGAAATTTAAACTTGGAGGTGTCACAGCCAAATTCAGATGCTAATCTTTGTTTCTTTTAAGAGAAGATCAACCAATTTCCTATGACATATGATGAGACAGGGCAATCTGAAATTGTGTAAATTGATCAGTGGAGATTTTCTTTTTTTTTTTTTTTTTTGTCAGTTGTGGGGCTTGAACTCTGGTCCTGGGCTCTGTCCCTGAGCTCTTCAGCTCAGGACGAGCATTTTACCACTTGAGCCACAGTGCTAGTTCTGGTTTTCTGGTGGTTAATTGGAGATAAGAGACTCACACACTTTCCTGCCCAGGCTGGCTTTGAACCTCTGTCCTCAGATCTCAGCCTCCTGAGTAGCGAGGATTACAGGTGTGAGCCAATGGCCCCTAGCTAGATCCTTTGTGCCTGGGTTTACATGTGCATCCTATCTCCACCAAAAGATCACGAGCTGTTACCTTGATGAGTTACTGTTTCTCCTCTCTTTCCCCTCTCCCTGTGTACTTTTTCCAGGATCTTGCTATGTAACCCAGGTTGGTCTTGGACGTATGATCTCTCTGCCTCAGCTTCCTGAGGTATACACCAACACTCCTGGCTTTCTTTCTACCTTTTCTTGACTTTTTTTTTTTTTTTTTTGCCAGTCGTGGGGCTTGAACTCTGGGCTTGGGTGCTCTTCAGCTCAAGGCAAGCACTCTACCACTAACCCAGCCCCTAGTTTTGTGGATTTTTTTTTAAATCCTCTATGGGGCTCATGCCTGTACTTCTAGCTATTCAGGAGGCTGAGATCTGAGGATCTTAGTTCAAAGTCAGCCCACACAGGAAAGTTTGTGAGAATCTTATTTACAATTAGCTAGCAAAAAGCTGGAAGTAGAGTTGGGATTCAAGTGGTAGAGTGTTAGCCTTGAGCAAAAAAAGTTCAGGGACAATGCTCAAGCCTCAGGATTAACACAAAAATATATTAAAAATCCTCCTTCAAGGTTTATTACCTTAGGGCTCGGGGAATGGCTCAAATGGTGGAGCACTTGTTTGGGAAGCATGATGCCCTGATTTCAAACCCAGGCCCCACAAATTAATAAAGTACCACCCTAAGCTATAATTCCAGTAAGTCAGGAGGATAAACCAGAAGGATTATGAGTTTGAGGCCAGCTTGGTGGTGAAGCCAGTAGGGATAGGGATGGAGAAATAGAGGATGGGGGCAGGGGATCTTACTTGAAGTCATTTCTTTCTTTCTTCAACCTAGTAGAATAAATAATTGGCTCTCTATCCCAATTGTTCCTGTCACTTCTTACTTCAAAAAACCATAAACCCTGAAGGTTTAACTGGTATTCAAATCTCTCATAGAAAAGGCTCATAGAAGCAAGACTGGAGTTCATTAAAATGATTGCCTCATAGTCATCCCTAATTCCAACGTCCGATTTAGAGCTGGTAAATATGTCTTCTAATATTGCCTACACATTTTAGAATACAATGTGTTTACTGGAACATTTCTATTTTGGGCACTCGGGAGGTACACTGGTGCTTGGTTTTTAGGACATAAAATACTGTCTCAAATTGTGAAATGAATGTGTTTACCAGACCATCATGAGACAATTTTTGGTTTCATGAACTTTGGGATTGAGTAATGAAGTCTGTAATCACCAATTTATTTCTGCTTGGGATAAAAACTATTTGTTATTTAATTCTTAAGTAAAATGTCAAAACAAATGGAAACTTCATCCATCTCTCTGGACTGCAAATCCCCATAAGGCATGGAGAATCTGCGCCTAAACAACAATGCAAATATAAGCACATATTTGTCCCTCTCTCTTCTCTCCGAGACACTATTCATGACTCAGCTGGTAGCTCATGTCTGTAATCCTAGCTACTCAGGAGACTGAGATCTGAAGATCACAGTTTGAAGCCAGCCAGGGCAGGAAACTTCATGAGACTTTTATCTCCAAAAAGTGGGTCTGTGGTTCAAGTGGTAGAGCTCTAGCCTTAAGAGAAAAAACTCAGGGGACACAAGCAGGCCCTGAGTTCAAGACCTAGAGCAGGCACAAAATACAGACAAAAAGCTAAACTACACTGCACAAATTGTGGTCATATTAAGTTACTGAATTGTGTACTTTCAATAGGCAAATGGCTTCATGTTTTTGTATTTTCCAAAATTCTTATATTAAGCAATATTCATCACTTGAAAAACTGCGCAAATATTTAAGCCAATCTTTTTTTTTTTTTTTTTGGGTCTGGTCTGGTCGTGGGGCCTGAACTCTGGGCCTGGACACTGTCCCTCTACTCTTAAGCTCAAGGCTAGCACTCTACCAATTGAGCCACAGCGCCACTTCCGGCTTTTTTTGTTTTTGTTTATGTGGTGCTGAGGAATCGAACCCAGGGCCTCAGGCATGCAAGGCAAGCGCTCTACCACTGAGCCACCTTCCCAGCCCTAAGCCAGTCTTTAAAGTAATTATACAAATGGGATAGACTTCACAGCACAAGAACTATATTTGAACTAATTAGTACCTCTAATAGCTTCTTTCATACCCACCTCAGATAGTTTATCGTGTTGCTTAGAGACATATTGTCTACCACTTTTTTTTCCCCTGAGGAATGTTCCTAATCAGAGCTCCTGATTAGTTCTCTATTTTCAAACTCTAGAACCACCTCTCTGGATTTATTGTACTGATAAGGTCAGACCAGCCTTTAAATTATAGATCACATCTGTAGATGCACATTCTGTGTGGGCTGGAAGAAACAAGAGCTCGACAGTATTGCTGCGCTGTTGCCAAAGGTCTGGGCCAGCTGGTGACTGATTTCTGCTCTATTTCTGTTCCATAGGTCTGCCTGACTCTATTCCCTCCCCTTTCCCAGGAGCTTCCATTCACTTTGTTGTCACGTGTAAAAAGAACACATAATACCATTCTTTTGAGACAACCTTATAAAACTTCCCCAAACCATGAAAGTTCCCTTTTTCTTCCTACATAGTCTGTTAAGCCCTTTTCCATTTCTATTGCTCATTTTTCTATATCACCATTCTGCTCAAACTACTTTCAACCAAAGGCTTCAGTGTTGAAGATAAAGATTCTCTTTAAACTGCCTAATATCAAGATGAACTGTACTCATAATCTGACTTGAGTTGAAACCTCTTAATATAACTACCTAAAAGTAAAAAAAACAAAAAACAAAAAACTCAGCCAGGCCTGGTGGCTTACATCTATAATCCTAGCTACTCAGGAGGCTGATCTGAGGATGATGGTTCAAAGCCAGCCCAAGCAGGAAAGTCCATGAGACTCTTATCTCCAATAAACTAGAAAAGACCAGAAGTGGCTCTGTGGATCAAGTGGTAGAGCATTAGCCTTGAGTCAAAGAAGCTCAGGGTCAGAGCCCAGACCCCTGAGTTCAAGTCCCAGGACTGATACAAAAAAAAAAAAAAGATTCATATCACAAAATCAGACATGTCATTCATACCTTAATGAAGCCAGGTGAAATATAAATACACAAACTAAATAATATAAAATTAAATTAACATCAGCCTCATGCCTTTTACAGTCTGCCTCTGGTTCTCCTGGTTATACAAAACCACTTGCTGACTGCATAGGGGAAGGACAGGCGTGGGCACTGAGGAAATGAAGCAGACACTAACCTGCCCATCTGGAGGATGAGGTCTGCCATGGAGGGACAGACACCCCTGGGGGAGTTATTCCCTGGGGGAGAATAACTGTTCTGGGCAGGGAGCTAAGAGGAGGCAGGTGCATTCTCCAACAGGAAAGGGAGGCTTGAGGGAGGAGGTGGAGCCAGAACCAAAGCAGGTTTTCCAGGAAGAGGAACTAGAGAGCCCCGTCACAGTGCATCTGCTGGCCTGTACAGGTGCTTTGCTCTCATTTCTCAGAAGTAAATCCTAGAGACTGCACATTGGATTCTGTGGCCCTAATCAAAAATCTGCAAAAAGCCAGGCATCGGTGGCTCGTGTCTGTCATCCTAGCTACTCAGGAGACTAAGATCTGAGGATCGAAGTTCAAAGCCAGCCCAGGTAGGAAAGTCTGTCAGACTCTTTTTTGGGGGGGAAGGGGGGCGGGGAGGGGCAGTCGTGGGGCCTGAACTCTGGGCCTGGGCGCTGTCCCCCAGCTCTTCAGCTCAAGACTAGCGTTCTACCACTTGAGCCACAGCGCCACTTCCGGCTTTTTTCTTTTTGCTTATGTGGTGCTGAGGAATCGAACCCAGGGCCTCATGCATGCAAGGTAAGCGCTCTACCACTGAGCCACCTTCCCAGCCCATCTGTCAGACTCTTATCTCCAATAAACCACCAGAAAACTGGAGAAGTAGAGCTGTGGCTCAAGTGTTAAAGCTCTAGCCTTGAGCTGAAGAGCTGAAGCACAGCACCTAGGCCCAGAGTTCAAGACCCAGACAAAAAAAAAAAAAAAAAAAAAAAAAATCTGTTAAAAAAAAAACAAACTTGCCTGAAATTTCTCCTTTACTGGTTCTACTTTGAAGTACCTGTCCACATACCATTCTCTTAATGATTTTCCATCTTTTAATGAACCCTGTAATGCCCCCACTATAGTGGCTGCGATCTAGATCAAAGCAAAGTCGAGAGCTTTCCAACACCTTTAAGTTCCAGGCTACCTTTCTACCCTTACCCTCATTGTTCCTTCTCCTCTTACCCACCTTAAACCCACCAATACTCAGGCCATTCAGCAAGTCCCTTTTTTTCTGGCTTACTCTGTATGTGTCTACTCAGGACCTGGCCTGCATATTTTCCTTCCAGACTCATCTCAAATAACTGCTTTCAGAAGGCTCACTCATCCATTCTACCCTGCTTCTAAATTGTTCTGCATTCTTGGGACAACTTTGTAGCACTTTATAGGTCATGGTTTTTCTGTGTATATCTCTCAGTGGTGTGGGGTCCTTGTTGAATTGGGCAGTGTAGACTAAGTGCTTAAGAAAGTCTTGTGTATAGTGACGCTATTGACTAACTTGAAGTTATTTTCAAGAACACTACACCTTTCTCTGGTGTGAGTTAAGAAATAGAAGTGTCTCTCTCTAGCCGGGCACTGGTGGCTCACGCCTGTAATTCTAGCTACTCAGAAGGCTGAGAGCTGAGGACTGTGGTTCAAAGCCAGCCTGGGCAGGAAATTCGTGAGACTCTTCATGTCCAGTTAACCACCAGAAAACCAGAAGTGGCACTGTGGCTCAAGTGGTAGAACACTCACCCTCAGCTGAAGAGCTCAGGGACAGTGCCCAAGCCCAGAGTTCAAACCCCACGACTGACAAAAAAGAAAAAAAAGAAGTTTCTCTCCCTTTTCACAAAACCACACCTAGGTCAAACTTACTTTGACAAAGGGAAAAAGCAACATGAATTAATACTTGCCTCTTGCACCCCTAAAAAGGACTCTATAGTGTTTTTCTAATCGCTTGGCCATGTAGTTGGCATTTAAAATAGCCATTTCCGTGGCCTGTTTAAGGCCCTTGCCTCCCATCATCTGCAACAAAGAAAAAGAGTCATTAATCACTGAACAGGTGAGCCCAACCACACACCACTAGATAAATCCCACCAAAAACAAAAAGGACATTAGCCTACCAAACTGTGGATTAAAGATAAATAGATAATACCCTAGGAAAGACCCGTCAGTCTGTCTAGGCCTGAAAGAATTTTAGGTTTTCTCTGATAAGCATTAATTTTATATTTTTAAGAAGCCATACGATGGGCACCAGTGGCTCACACCTGTAATCCTAGGTACTCAGGAGGCTGAGATCTGAGGATCGTAGTTCTAAGTTAGTCCAGGTAGGAGACTCTTCTCCAATTAACTCCTAAAAAGCTGGAAGTAGAGCTATGTCTCAAGTGATAAAGGGCCAACTTTGAGCAAAAAAGCTCAAGGACAGCACCCAAGCTCAGTTCAAGCCCTAGAATTGGCACATGCACGCGCGCGCGCGCGCACACACACACACACAGACACACACACACACACACACACCCCATAGTACCAATGCTTATAATGGGGAAAGTTGGCTACTATTATTAGAGCTGTTATTAGGTTTTTGTTTGTGAAATTGAGGTATCTTGGCCAATGACAGGAAACCCAGGAGATCTCAGTCAAAATCTCCAGCAAATTGATTTTGTATGGTTTGATTCCTATGGTCCACCAGTGGAGGCTGTTTATATTTTAACTGCCAGGTTCAATATTATCTTTTTCTGGTCCCTGCAATGATCTGGGGTAAACATCACTAGAAAGGAATTTAAAATGAAGATTATGTAGATTTTCATTGCCAAGGGAGCTCATAAACAATTGCAGTTCAACTTATATCAAATTTATAACTATGTTAAACACCGGTACTCAAGTACAAAGTAAGGAGAAGACATGTGTCTCTCCCAGGCTAGTGAAGAAAGGATTCCTATAGTAAAAATTAGAACTTGACTTGGAAAATTTAAAAGAGCAGAATTTGGATAGGCAGAAAAAAAGGAGAATGTACTCCAAGCAAAAAGAATAACAAAAGCCAAGGTGCTTGTAAAGGTTAAAAAGTTTGTTTGTGACTTATAACTAAGTATCACAATACTGTGAAATTTATGTAATCACTTAATCTCAATTAAAAAAAAAAAGCCAAGGTGCAGAAAAAGGCACATAGCTACACCAAGGAGTCACTGCAGGTGAGGCAGTTGGTGACTGCGCCCTTTCTAGGAAGGACATAGATTTGGTTCAGCCTCTCAACCCATATATCAGAGTCACCAAATCTTTCTCAAGATACTGAAATGTATCCAAGCCCAACTCCACATACATTGAGGTGCATTTTTTTAAACTCTGAAATGGGGCCAAGCCTATGCCAGTGAGAACCAGCAGCAAGGAGGCTAGGAAACTGGGAGAGGCAGAGGGATCTTAGCAGAAGGGGAATGTCCAAGATCAATTGTGGCAAGGACAGAAGATTCTGGTGAATAACAACCATCTGAAATAAGAGAAGACCCAAGGTTGCAGAGCTAGCTTAAACACTGCTTTATTTACTTAATTTTTAAACTGAAACTGTGTCTGATTTTCCAGGCGTATGGCCAAACTAGCCTCAGGATATTTATTTTCTATATGTGGGAAATAATCTCCAATCCAAATACATTCACACAAATAACCCAGATTTTCAGAATCCAGGGATCAAAGGGATATGACAATTTGATTCTGTTTGTAATGAAACAGATCTTTATTCTGATTGTTTTAGTTACTACTATTTGCAAAACAACTTGAGTATTATTTTAAACAGCAGGTCCTAATCTCTGAAGTACACAACAATTGCTCCAGCTGTTGAGAACCTTTCCATTAAAAATGTTAAAAGGTAAGCCAGGCACCCAGTGGCTCACACCTATAATCTTAGGTAGAAGATTGAGATCAGAGGATTGTTCTTTGAAGCCCCAGAAGTTCCTGAGACTCTTATATCCAATTACCCACCAAAAACCTGCAAGTAGAGCTGTGGCTCAAATGGTAGAGTTGGAGATGAAAGTCTCAAAGACATTTCTGTCCAGGCTGACTTTGAACCACAATCCTCAGAACTCAGCTTCTTGTGTAGATAAGATTACAGATGTGAGCCACCAGTGCCTGGCCAAGCCAAAGAGCTTTTGAAGCAATATTCTGCTACTTTTTGTATTATCCTCCAGACTGCCAAGAATATAGTCCTAAAATTTCTACCAGGATCTCAATGAAGTGCTATAATGAATATGTGCACTACTTTTCACTGCAAGGGGCTAAAGCCTTCAGGAAACCAAATGTTGTGTCCAGAACATCCACATGACTCATGGGACTTAAGTGTGTCTAGAAAATGGCTGTCTGTGGTGCACCAGTTTCTCTGACGCTAAACCCAGTATGAGACCACAGTGGAAACAGCACAACAAATAAGAGATGAAATGGATTTTAGCTATTTCTGTAGGAAGATTTTTTTCCATCTGTCATCAGCAATCTCAAATCATGGGTTCTATCATTTTTTTAACCCATATTCAGCCAAACAGGTTCTCAGGGCTCACCTTAATGTAGGCCCATGAAATGGGCAAGATGGAACTGGAGCCCCATGGGGCTGCACTGATGGTCCCAACAGGCCACGTAGTCTCATCCGACTTCATTGAAACAATGGGGTGACTGGGCAGAAAGGGAGCAAGATGCTTCTTCCTGGAATACATTCAGGAAATGTACCAACACACAGTCGTAGCAAACACAAATTCTAGGCCCTCTCAGGAAGCCCTATTTCTTTCTGAGTTTTTTGTTTTGTTTTTGGTGCCAGTACTGGGGCTTGAGCTCAAGGCCTGGGCACTTGCCCTGGGCTTTTTGTGTTCAAGGCTACCACTCTTATCACTTGGGCCACAGCTCCAGTTCCAGCCTTTTCTAGTTGTTAACTAGAGATAAGAGTCTTATGGATTTTCCTGCCCAGGCAGCCTTCAGACCAGGTCCAATGCCTTTTATCCAATTCATTCTCAATGGAACTATTAGCTGATTTTTTAAAGAGAGAAACAGAAGATTCAACATCGAGATTCAAGTCTGAAATATACTTCCCAGCACCAATACTGCAGTCGGATCCTTAATCCTCAAGTCCTCTGTAAGTGCTGGGTGAGGAACTATATCCTTGGCACTTGAGCACCTTGCTAGAAGATTGAGTTTGGGCCTACTCTGTTTCCAAAGACACCCTGAAACCGACAGCCCAGAACTCACACTCCAATGGGACCCATGCCAGGACCACCTCCTCCGTGGGGGATACAGAAGGTCTTGTGAAGATTTAAGTGCGAGACATCAGACCCAAAGTCTCCAGGACGACAGATTCCCACCTACCCGAAGGGAAAGACCAAAAAAAAATAATAAGCATTAGAAGCTAGGCAGGACCCTGCGGATGGCTACTGTTGCTGCTGCTCCTCCTAGAGGAAGGCGGGGAGGGATCCGCTCTCCATTACAGCTCAATTCTACAGCAAAACCTGGTATCCCATAAGCACAGTGAGCGGGTTTCTATACAAACCTCAACTGACCGTTTTAACACAATTCAGTTTTTAAAATGCAGGTTTGAATAAAGCTATTCCTAATTAGCCACCCAAGAAGGTGAAGAGGAAGCATAGTAACTCATGAAAAGGCAGTGCCACATTCCTATTGAAACAGGCAGCTTTGCCTTTCTTTCCCTGCACACTAGCTCTGGGTACTGAGTACGTCACAGAATGGGCCCTTGGGCACCTTAATAGAAGAGTCCAGAGGATGACTAATTGAGTGGGAGAAAGTGAGGCTGCTGGGTTTCCTGAGATGATCCAGATAACAGTCGTGACCACCAAGCTGGTGTTTTTTAAGACTAATTTTGATTAGGGACCAAGATAATTTTGCTTTATGCTATTAAAGACAAATCTTGGACTACAGTCATGAAAGGAACAAGACAAAAACAAGGAAAAAAGAATGGAAGAAAAAAAGAAATGGGAAAAAAGGAAGAAAGAAGGGAGGAAAGAAGAGAAGGAGGGAGAGAGGATAGGAAGGAGGGAGGAAACATGGGAGGGGAAAGGGAGGGAAGGAGGGAAGAAGAAAAGGAAAGAGCATAAAAGAGGGGGAAAGAAAAGGAAAAGAAAGCCAAGTATGGTGGGCAGAATAGGCCAAAAAATAAAAAAATCCCCTGTGCACCCAGGTATGACAAAATTCTGTGATTCCCATCTAAGCAAGAGGTCACAGGTAGGAAATTTGAGGTCTGACACTGGCCTGGATGAAAAAATGGAAGACTGGGGCTGGGAAGGTGGTTCAGTGGTAGAGCACTTGCCTTGCATGCCTGAGGCCCTGGGTTCGATTCCTCAGCACCACATAAGCAAAAAGAAAAAAGCCAGAAGTGGCGCTGTGGCTTAAGTGGTAGAGTGCTAGCCTTGAGCTGAAGCGCTGAGGGACAGCGCCCAGGCCCAGAGTTCAAGCCCCACAACAGACCAAAAAGAAAAGAAAGAAGGAAGGATGGAAGAAAGAAAGAAAGAAAGAAAGAAAGAAAGAAAGAAAGAAAGAAAGAAAGAAAGGAAAGAAAGAAAGAAAAAATGGGACTGGGAAGGTGGCACAGTGGTCTAGAGTGCTTGCCTTGCATGCATGAGGCGCTGGGTTTGATTCCTCAGCACCACATAAGCAAAAGGAAAAAAGCTGGAAGTGGCTCTGTGGCTCAAGTGGTAGAGCGTTAGCCTTGAGCTGAAGAGCTGAGGGACAGAGCCCAGGCCCAGAATTCAGGCCCCACGACTGGACCAAAAGAAAGAAAGAAAGAAGAAAGAAAGAAACAAAGAAAGAAAGAAGAAAGTCCTCATTGAAGTGGACATGCAATGTCCAATGGTAGAGCATTTGAGCAGCATGTGTAAAATCCCTGGGTTTGATCCCTAAGACTTGGGTGGAAAATAAAAGAAAAAGTCAGCCTCAGGTCTGCTTAGCTATGAATTCAGCATCATAATTCAACAGGGCTCTGGAGAAGCCAGAGGGGAATTTTGTTTTGTGTGTTTGTGATACTAGCGACTGAATTTAGTGCCATATGTATATGTATATGTATGTGGGGGGGGGGTCGGTCATGGGGGTCTGAGGGTCTGAACTCTGGGCCTGGGTGCTGTCCCTCAGCTCTTCAGCTCAAGGCTAGCACCCTACCACTTGAGCCACACACCACTTCCACCTTTTTCTGCTTATGTGATGCTGAGGAATCAAACCCAGGGTCATGCATGAAAGGCAAGCACTCTATCACTGAGCCAGCTTCCCAGCCCCTGACTTTTATATTTTTAATTGTCTACTTTTCTCAGTGGAATCAAGGGAGCTCCTCTCAAGATCCACACCTGAGCATTCATATTTGCCCCATCAAGGTAAACCTGTCCTCCATGTTGGTGGATAAGGGAGCACACATCTCCGATGTTCTCTTCAAACACTCCATTGGTGGATGGGTATGTGATCATGATGGCTGCCAGGTTCTCCTTGTGTTTATCCACCTGTGGGGGGAGGGTGACACAAAGGAAGAAACATTTATTTCTTGGCCAAACTCTGGCTTTTTAGAGGATTAAGAAAGATGAAGTCTTAGCCTTTGCATTCTTGGCACTGCCTCAAAGTACAAAGATAGCAATAAAAGATCCACAGCCATTTCTCCCTCATAAATTGTGCTAAAGAAATAGCCAGATCTTTTAAGGCTTGGACTCTATGGTCAGAAACAAAAAGACTCCTTAGAGTATTTTGGGATATTCTGGGGCCAACTTTCTAAAGTGATTTTCCTTTGGTACATTTTCCTAATAATTACTGCTGGCATTTTTAGTTCTAGACATGAGTATTCTCCCAGTTAATCTCTACTCATTTTCTCACATCCATTCTTAACCCCCTTTCCTTTACTTCTGTAGAAATTTAAATTCCTATAAGAAATGTTACAAAGCAGAAATCTGGATTAAATATACACATTGCCAAGAAAAAAAAGAAAGAAAAAGAAAGGAAGGAAGGAAGGAAGAAAAGATGGATTACTATTCTGATAAAAAACAAAAACAAAAAAACAGGGGCTGGGAAGGTGGCTCAGTGGTAGAGTGCTTGCCTTGCATGCATGAGGCCCTGGGTTCGATTCCTCAGCACCACATAAGCAGAAAAAGCGCACTAGCCTTGAGCTGAAAAGCTGAGGGATAGCGCCCAGGCCGAGAGTTCAGGCCCCAGGACTGACCAAAAAAAAAAAAAAAAATCTCCTTTATTTTTCTGTTAAAGAAGGTGAGTGTGTATAAAAGATTTACTTCTTGGGTTTTGGTTGTTGCTGCTGCTTTTAAAGATTCTTTTCTAGGGGCTGGGAAGGTGGCTCAGTGGTAGAGTGCTTGCCTTGCATGCCTGAGGCCCTGGGTTCGATTCCTTAGCACCACATAAGCAAAAAGAAAAAAGCCGGAAGTGGTGCTGTGGTTCAAGTGGTAGAGTGCTAGCCTTGAGCTGAAGAGCTGAGGGACAGCACCCAGGCCCAGAGTTCAGGCCCCACGACCAGACCCCCCCCCCCCAAAAAAAAGATTCTTTTCTAGTTAGCAAATCAGATCAGTCACATGTGGAAATGGGAGGAAAATAAGTCATATACTACATCAGAGATTTAATAATTACAACTACCAGACCAGAATATTTGTTGGGGAAAAAAAAGTTTGTCTGGTGATGGAAAGACTAGGGGGCAGATGAAAAGATGAGCAGTGTGTATTTTCAGCTTTCCTTTGAAGGCAGTTACATGGCGTTCCCAGTCTCCATGCCTAATAACCCTGACAAAATCACATTGCTATTCCACTGATTTCCTTCCCTCTTAAGATGCAGCCTCCAGTCCACTGGTAGAAAGCAGATACGGTTGCTAAGCAACGTCTTCCTGGAGGTTGGGAGGTTGGGAGTGGGGGTTGGTTGTAGGAAACAGGATGGAATGCTGCCTGGAATCTAGTTCGGTATGGCTGGGTTAGTAGCAAACATTAACAAAAACCCTACCTTTGTTCTTTAATTTCCAATACAAACAGTGAATCTAATTATGATTATCAACTTGATTAAAGGCAGAAGATGGGGACTGAAGGAAGGTTGGGAAGTAAGAGGCAGGCAGGTCCTGCAAGAAGCATACCCTTACTACCACTGTGAATAATTCATTCAGTGACTTTAAGGCATGAATTAGAGAGTGGGGATTTCACTTTAAAATGGGTGAAGGGAGGGATCAAGCAGACATCATTAGCTTTATTGGGGGCCAAAACTATGACCGTGGCTTTACATTTTTTAATTTTCTTAGAGACTGTTAGGCTTCCTGATTTTACCCCATTTCCCCCAGACCCACTCAATGGAGGAATTGACGTCCTTTCATTAGAACACAAGAGAAGATACTGTTGACCCAACCCATCAGGTCCCTCCCGCAGACCTCTCCCCCCCCCCCACACCTCCTCCATCTGTTGTGGGGAGGCTGCGTACCATGGCCCTGAGGTGAGCCGTATCAATATTCCCGTACTTATCCACCTCCACGGGCTGAATCTTCATGCCTGCCATGTGCGCACTAGCAGGATTGGTTCCATGTGCTGATTTCGGAATGAGGCAAACCTTAGGAATGGAAAGAAAGGATACAAAGAAGAAAAGCAAAGATCATTAGGCTATTAATCGTGACAGAAAAGTCCTACAATATGCTAGTCGCACAAATTAAGAAGGGCACCATCTGCTTTGATTGAAACTGACCGATGGTGCTTTAAACATCTGCTATAATGATTATTGTTATTACACAATGTCCCAAAGAGGAGTTTCCATTTGAGTCCCAATATTGTCCCATAAATGTCTTCTCTCATCCCAGCACACTAAAAACAGGCATGTGCTCCTGAGCCTTATTCAAACCCTGTGTCAATGATACCGTGTGGGAAGCATCTTATAATAAAACATTTGACTGGAAGTTAAACTCGAAAATTCAAATGCCCATATCTCTGTACAGTGCTGCTCATGGCTCACCAGGACAGACAACAATGACGGAATCCCAGCACCAATGCACCAACACACCAACATGACAACTTTTATCAGATGCTTACTCTGCTATGAATTTGTGGGCTACACTATGAAACATAAAATAAGCATGAAAACTAATCAAAGTATTTGCCCTGTAATCACATGACTTGCTCACTGATAACACTGTTGCATGTAAGAAATGAATGTCTGGAAGCTAGGTGCTAGTGGCTCACATCTGTATTTCTAGCAACTCAAAAGGCTGAGATCTGGGAGATCACAATTTAAGGGTTCACTCAAGCAGAAAAGTTCACCAGACTCCATCTCCAAAATAGTCAACAAAAAAATAGGGCTTGGAGGCATGGCTCAAGTGGCAGAGCACCAGCCTAGCAAGCAGGATACCTTGAGTTCACACTCAAGCTGCCCCATCTCCAAAAGAGAAATTTATGTCTAGAGGTTTAGAAAGACATTTGAAATAGAAAAAAATAGGGTGCAGCTTCAAGTTGAAGAGTTTGAATGACAAGTCTCAAGAGTTACAAATTAGGACCTCAAAGATGCACTGGAATTTTATTTGTTCTTCAGGGCTGGGTATTGATCCCAAGGCCTGTGAGTGCTTGGTAAGTCCCTGTGTTAGCTTTTTTGGAAAGGTGGGTGGTAGGTTCAATGTTAGAATTTCTAGATGGAAATCACATTTCATTTCTTCCACACCATTATACAAATTCAGGCAAGCACCTATGCACTTGTAGATGTGATGAACCAGCAGGAAAGGACAGCAATGGAATGCAATGAGACAAATCCATTGCTTATCCTAAAAATGGTCTTCATTTCTTTCATCCTAGAAGCAATGTTGCAATTCCTTTGAAAAGAAATGGATAGACATTATAAAAAATAAAAAAATGTAGGGTTATGAAGAGAAAAACACAGTAATTTCCTCAAAAACAGCAAAGTAGTCTAGTTAAGAAAAATGTCTATGTACAAAAAAGAGAACTTGGCTGGAAATGTGGCTTAGTGGCAGAGTGCTTGCCTAGCATACATGCAGCCTTGGGTTTGCTTAGCCGGAAGTAGTGCTAAGGCTCAAGTAGTAGAGTACTAGCCTTGTCACAGAACCCAGGACTGGAAAAAAAAGAGAGAGAACTTGAGCCTAAGGCAAAGTAGAATTGCTGATATTCTGCTGACAGAAAGTCTGTGACTTTTTCAAAGGCCACTGGTCTTATGCTGGATATGCTGTTTTATCCTCAAATGCTTTTTTTGTTGTTTAAATATTTCCCTTTTGCAGTTAAACATTTTTTTCTTTAATTTCTCAGGGCCAATGTCACTATTTTCTCCATGATATTTTTATTCTAGAAAGGATCATTGGATAAAAGATCCTTTCAGAACAGAATATAAAGGAAGGAAAAAGGGAATATTCAAAAGGAATGTAGCTCATACTTGTAATCCTAGCTAGCCAGGAGGCTGAGATCTGAGGCTTACAGTTCAAAGCCAAACAGGAAAGTCCATGAGACTCTTATCTATAGTTAATCACAGAAAAGTCTGTGGCTCAGGTGGTAGAGTGCTAGCCCTGAACTAAAGGAGCTCAAGGACAGCACCCAAGCCCCGAGTTCAAGCCCCAGGACTGGCAAAAGAAGATGATGATGAAAGATGACAAAGAGGATGATGATGAAGGAGAAGGAGGAGGAAGAGGAGAGGAGGAGGAGGAGAGGAGGAGGAGGAGAAGAAGAGGAGGAGGAGGAGGAGAAGAAGAAGAAGAAGAAGAAGAAGAGGAGAAGAAGAGCAGGAGCAGGAGCAGAAGGAAGAGGACATGTCAAAGAAAAAAAGAAAGAATACAAAGTATTTGTAAAAAGCCAAAATTAAAAGTAATGGGCCCCCAAGGATACTCAGATGCTCTAATATTTGGAACCTGTGGTTTATCCAAAGCGAGTCTAGCTTTGGGGGGTATTTTATAACCATTTAGATGGGTGTTGTAGTCTCTTGATTTCTAGAGGGCCTGGGACGGAATGGGCAGAGATCATCCTAAAAGCCCTGCTGAAAGGTTGAAATATTATACCAGGTTTTGGTGGCTCATGCCTATAATCATAGCTCTCAGGAGGCTGAGATCTGAGGATCCTGGTTTGAAGCCACATGAGGCAGAAAAGTCCATGAGACTCTTAACCTCCAATTAACCAGCAAAGCTGGAAGTAAAGCTGTGGCTCAAGTGACACAGCATCAGCTACAAAACAAAAACAAAAAACAAAAACAAAAAACAAAACTGTGGCTCTGAGTTCAAGACCGCACCCACACAAAAAGACAGAAGAAGGATTAGGAGGAATGTTTCTATGCTGATTAAGTTTCTATTTGGCCACAGTGTCCAAGGCCACTAATTTGTTTCAGGCAGCTGAAAAGAGAAGAACATTCCATAAATAAAGGAAACAGTCTCTGAATTGCAAATTTGAGTTAATATTTGAGTAGCATGCTGATCTTAGTTGTAAAGTGTTTAAGACTATGTCTGATATTGCTGTTACATAAGTTTTTTTATTAGAATAATTTATAGGGCTGGGAAGGTGGCTCACTGGTAGAGTGTTTGCCTTGCATGCATGAGGCCCAGGGTTTGATTCCTCTACACGACGTAAGCAGAAAAGGCTGAAAAAGGCTAGAAGTGGCACTGTGGCTCAAGTTGGTAGAGCACTAGCCTTGAGCTGAAGAGCTGAGGGATAGCACCCAGGCCCAGAGTTCAGGCCAGGACTGACCCTCGACCCCCCCCCCACCAAAAAAATAGAATAATTTATATATTTCAGTAAACGGTGAACTCAGACATTCCCCTTTAGAAACCTTTGCAATTTAACCTAAGAAAATAACTCTGTGTGTGTGTGTTTAGTAGTGGGACTTGAATTCAGGTCATGGATGCTGTCCCTGAGTATTTGTGCTTAATACTAGTGCTCTACTACTTGAGCCACAGCTTCACTTCTGGCTGAGTTCAAGCCCCATGACCAAGCAAAAAAGAAGAAGTCTCGGACTTTGCTGCCCAAGCTAATCTCGAACTGTGATCCTCAGATCTCCACCTCCTGAGTGGCCAGGATTACAGGTGTGAGCCACTAGCGCCTGTCCAAAAATAACTTTGGGAGTGTGTGTGGGAGGGGAGGGGGTGGAGAAACGGCTTGAAAAAGAAAACCATCAAGAACCCAGGCAGTTCTATAGCACATGATTTCACCCACATGCCTTTTCAAGGGGAAAAAAAAAGGATAGATTTTACTGGATTCCATCAGAGTCTATTGTGTGAAGACAGCTGCTTCAGAAATACTGATGTGGAAAAATCTTCCCTGATTATTTAAATAAGTCATTTTCTTCTTAACTAAAAAAGCTGGCCTTAATTAAAGTCTTTCGTCCAGAAAGATGGCAACATTTCCAGGATAAGGAGTTGTGTGTTTCTGCATGCTCAGGCCTCTCTGTTCTCCTCACTGTCCCTACAATGCAGAATCCCACTCATTCTCTCCCCTTCCGATTAGAATGGCTTCTTGAGAGACAGAATTCTGTGACAGCAGTGAGGACAACAGTGCCAGGACAAACGTCATCACAAGAGGGTGGGAAGAGAAGGAAGGACTGAAAAACGGTGAAAGGGAATCGGAGATAGAAGAGTAAGTCGTGGAATACACTGCCTTGGCTAAACCAACAGATTTCTCATTGTCCTTGCCCTTTCTGGCTTGCTTCCCAACTCCTGGACCTTCTCAGCTACTTCCTGGCCTCTAATTGGAGAATTGAGAAAACTGGGTGTAAAACATCGTAGTAGAAAGAACCTGGACTCTAAATTGTCATGGGACATAGGCCTTCCGCAAACAATGTAACGTGTGGTCTGTCTGCCAGCCAATGTGGATGGTCACACCAGAAGAAAGTCTGTGAAGACCAATTCCCTTTCCAAGGAACCTAGAGCCTCAGATAGGTCATGGTAAAAGATGGGTATAACAAGAGCTTCAAGGGTGTCCTTAGTGCTTGCAAACCATGGATAAAACAGAAAGGAATCACATGGTGTCGACTGACTAGACAAGTAGAGATACAACATCTCAATATTCCATAAGTGTTGAGTGCCAGGCACCGGTGGTGGCTCACATGTATAATCCAAGATACTCAGGAGGCTGAGATCTGAGGAGTGATTTCCGAAGTCAGCCAGGGCAGAAAAATCCGCGAGGCTCTTATCTCCAATAAACTACTCAGAGAAATCTGGAAGTGGCACTGTGGCTCAAGCGTAGAGTGCTAGCCCTGAGCAAATGAAGCTCAGGGACAGTGCAAGGCCCTGAGTTCAAGCCCCACAACCACACACACACACACACACACAAGAGTTGAGCTTCTAAAGTCCCAAGAGCATTTATAAATCTAAACTACCCATTCCTTAGAAGGTTCAAAACTTTTTTTCTTAGAGTTCAAAATCACTAGGAAAGCTGGTGCTGCTGGTAGCTCATGCCAATAATCCTAGTTAGTCAGGAGGCTGAGATCTGTGGATATTGGTTTGAAGCCAGACTAAACCGACAAACCTACAAGATTCTTATTCCCAATTAACCACTTAAAAAAAAGGAAGTAGAGGTGAGGCTCAGGTAGTAGTAGAGCATCAGCCAAATTAACATGAAACCCTAAATTCAAGCTCTAGAACTAGTTCAAGAAAAAAAGACCAAAAAACCAAAGCCAAACACCAACAACTCATGCCTGAATTCCCAGCTACTCAGAAGGCTGAGATCTGAGGATTGTGATTCAAAGTCAGTCTGTGAAACTCTTTTCTCCAATTAAGTATCCAAAAAAGCCAGAAGTAGAGCCTGTGGCTCAGGTAGTAGAACGAGCCTTGAACAGAAAAGCTTAGACGATGCCCAGGCCCTTATTTCAAGCCCCAGGAAAACCCTAGTGAACAAACCTAAAAGCAGAATCTGCATCTGTCTGAGCCATCACTCAATTTCCCTCTGCCTGATAAACTCTCTCTGAAGATGGCCAGGTTCTGCAGCTTATTGAATCATGAATGGCTTATTTTTTCATTTTTTTTTTAATTTTTTTTTTTTTGGTCCAGTCGTGGGGCCTGAACTCTGGGCCTGGGCGCTGTCCCTCAGCTCTTCAGCTCAAGGCTAGCGCTCTACCACCTGAGACACAGTGCCACTTCCAGTTTTTTCTTTTTTGCTTATGTGGTGCTGAGGAATCGAACCCAGGGCCTTGAGCATGCAAGGCAAGCACGCTACCACTGAGCCACCTTCCCAGCCCCATGGCTTATTTTTTCAAAAGTGTCTAACAAAATCACTCCTAAGTCAGGTGTGATGGAACACACCTATAATCCCAACACAAAGGAGTCTGAAAATTTAGACTTCCATGCCTTCTTAGATTACACAGAAAGATCCTACCTCAAATAAATAAATAAATAAAATTATATATATTTACTTAATAAGGAGAAAATCCTAATCAAGCCTTCATATATACCTATGGAAGGCTTCATACATTCCACATACTTGTGAAATAAGGATGAATATTCAAGGGACAGAGAGAGAAAAGGTTTCTTCCTCCCCCCACCTTTTTTTTTGTCGATCGTGGGGCTTGAACTCTGGGCCTGGGCCCTGTCCCTCAGCTCTTCAG